ATTAGACTGGTGGGCAGTGGCCCACATCTTTTGCAAAAAGACTGGGTATACAGGGTGCTCCGGCAGAGGATTTTGTCCCCCGCGACGAGTGACTGGTGTGCCCTCGTTCGCGTCCATAAATCGTTTCACTTGTTTGTATGATGAATCAACTCCCTTGCCCTACAACAAGCCCGAAACGAAAGACGCACCCTCTGCCCCCTCCGAAGCCCCCGTTCGGATTCGCCGACTTGCCTGGGAGAAAAAGCTACCTGGCAGTTATACCATCTCTGCCGCTCCTGGCGTTAACTCGCTGCACCTCCCCCTTGAACTTGAGTCCACTGCGAACGCGCGCTCAAGCTCTCCCTCTCGGGTCTGGTCGACTGCGGAGCTACTTCGGACTTTATCGACACAGAATATGTCAACCGGAATAATGTGCCAGTCCGAAATCTCTCAGTACCCATCCCGGTCTACAACGTCGACGGCACCCCCAATGATGCTGGGTCTATTCGCCAAATCGCGGACCTCGTTCTACGGTACAACGGACACTCCGAACGCGTTCAGCTGGCTGTAACCCACCTTGGGAAACAGGACCTGATACTCGGATACTCCTGGCTCAAAAAGCATAACCCCGAGATCAACTGGGAAACAAAGGAGGTGAAAATGAGTCGTTGCCCCCGCAGCTGCTCTACCTGCCGTGACGAAGAGCGGACCGAACGCGCCGAGGTTCGGCGGCTCCGACTCCTTAAATCACGACTACTTGGGGCGCCTTCCCCACTGTTTGCGCTATCGATATCGCTGGCCCAGATGATGCTGACGACGAGCTCGGAGCCGCTTCGGACCCTCCGGAGCCCTCACCAGATCTCGACGGCGACGAGCATCTTGAAGACGGCGACCGCATCTTCTACACCTCCTTTCTCCCAGTTGAGGAGATCCGCGCTGGCAGTACAGTGTCCCAACGCCTTGCAGAGGCCTTCGCCCGTAACTCGGCCCCTCCGCCTTCGGAGATCCCGGACTGGGCCAAGGAGTTCCAGGACGTCTTCGACAAGGAGTCCTTTGACACATTACCAGAACGAAGGGCTTGGGACCACGCTATCGAACTCGTCCCCGACGCGAAGCCCGCTAACTGCAAGGTGTATCCGATCTCTCCCCTCGAACAGCGCAACTTGACGAGTTCATCGAGGAAGGACTTGCCACAGGCCGTATTCGCCCTTCGAAATCTCCGATGGCCTCCCCGTCTTCTTCGTTAAGAAAAAGGACGGAGGGCTTCGGTTTGTCCAGGACTACCGCGCCCTCAACGCAATGACGATTAAGAACCGGTACCCCCTTCCGTTGATTAACGACCTTATCAACAGGCTCAAGGGCGCTCGTTACTTCACCAAACTCGACGTTCGCTGGGGTTTTAATAACGTCCGGATTAAAGAAGGAGACGAGTGGAAGGCGGCCTTTCGGACTAACCGAGGGTTGTTCGAACCTTTGGTGATGTATTTCGGCCTGACAAACTCCCCGCGACGTTCCAAACGATGATGAATGACATTTTCCAGGATCTCATTCTTTCAGGCGACGTTATGATCTACCTCGATGACATCCTTATCGCACATTCGGACCTCCGCAAGCACCGCGAGATCGTCCGGGAGGTCCTTCGGCGGCTCCGAATGCACAAGTTGTACCTTCGCAAGGGAAAAGTGCGACTTGAGAAATCGTCAATCGAGTACTTGGGGGTCATTATCTCGCACAACCATGTCGAAATGGACCCCGTTAAGGTCGCCGGAGTCTCCGCATGGCCTCCGCCCGAAAACAAGAAGGACGTTCAGCAGTTCCTGGGGTTTGCTAATTTCTACCGCAGGTTCATTCGGGATTTCTCGGCCCTAGCGCAACCTCTCTTTGCTCACCAAGAAAGACCAGAAATGGACCTGGGGAGACGCCGGCCGCCGCCTTTCAAGCCATCAAGGACGCGGTCGTATCAGAACCTGTCTTAGCGATCCCGGACGACTCTCGGCCTTTCCGACTTGAAGCAGACAGCTCAGATTATGCGACGGGGCGGTTCTTTCACAACAATCTGCCCCGGACGGGAAGTGGCACCCTGTAGCGTTCTATTCCAAAAGCTTAAATGATGTCCAGCACAACTACGAGATTCACGACAAGGAGATGCTCGCGATCATCCGCGCACTCGAGGAGTATCGGCATTTCCTCGAGGGCGCCGCGCATCCGGTTGAGATCTGGACTGACCATAAGAACTTGGAATACTTCCGAAAGGCGCAACACCTTAATCGTCGGCAAGCCCGATGGTCGTTGTACCTTTCCAGGTTTGACTTTACGCTGCACCACGTCCCAGGTCGCCAGATGGGCCGTCCCGATGCTCTCTCCCGCCGGCCTGACCACGGTATCTCCGACGACAACTCGGATGTCACCCTCTTACGCCCGAACTGTTCCACGTTCGCGCGCTTGAGGCCGTCACTGTCTCTGGGCCTGGCTCCGAACTTGTCCGCGACATCAAGGAAGCGCTATCCGGTGAGCCTGACCTAGAGGAACCCGTCGCACTTGCGGCTCGGCAACTCTTGAAGGTCCGAGGTCAAGCTCGGGGCCCCCCGCTCATCGCGTTCGGACGAGTGGGCCGTCTCAGGCGACCTCCTGTACTTCCGCGGCAAGGTCGTAGTCCCCAAAGACAAAGACCTGAGGAGGCGATTATAGAGCTCTGCCACGACACGCGTGTCGCCGGACATGCCGGGCGGTTCAAGACCCTGGAGTTGGTTTCGTGCAACTACTGGTGGCCACAGATGTCCCGCCATATCGGACGCCACGTCGCGACCTGCGACTTATGCTGTCGTCACGGCCCTCCGAAGGCTTCCGCACGGGGAGCTACATCCAACCGAAGTCCCCCCGAGCGCTGGCACACCGTCACGGTGGACTTCATCGTCGAGCTCCCCGAGGCCCATGGGTATGACGCGGTTATGGTAGTGGTTGACGCCCTCGGGAAACGCGCTCACTTCACCGAATGCCATACGACAATAGACGCGGTCGGAGCTGCCCGCTTGTACTATCGGAACGTCTGGAGACACCACGGAACCCCGAGAAGTACATTTCGACCGTGGTTCGCAGTTAATCGCTGACTTCACGCGCGAACTCTGGCGCTTAATTGGCGTCAAGCCGGCTACCTCTACGGCTTACCACCCGCAGACCGACGGACAAACCGAACGCGTTAACCAGGAGCTCGAGCAGTACATCCGAATCTTCACCAACTACCAACAAGACGACTGGGACGAGCTTATCCCTGCCGCTGAGTTCGCCTATAACAACCACGTTCACTCCTCCACTCAACAGGTACCCTTTATGACGGACACTGGCCGGCTCCCCCGAATGGGTTTCGAGCCGGGCACCCGCTCAGAGCTGGAGTCAGTGAACGAGTTTCGCGATCGGATAGCGAACGGCGTCTCCGAGGCGAAGGCCGCGCTCGTCAAAGCCAAAGACGAGTATAAACGGTACTACGATCGGAGACGATCGGACGCTCCGAATATTCAAGTTGGTGATAAGGTTTGGTTAGATGCCTCTGACATCAGAACAACTCGGCCCTCCGAGAAGTTCTCCCACAAGCGCCTCGGACCGTTCAAGGTGCTCGCAGAGGTTAGCAAAGGTGCCTACAAGCTCGACCTCCCCCCGTTACTCCAAGCTCCACCCCGTCTTCCCTGTTGTTAAACTCGAGCTCGCTCAGGACGACCCCCTTCAATGGACGACCCGGCTACGACGAACCGCCCCCGAACTAGAGGACGGAGTCCCCGAATGGGAAGTCGAGGAAATCTTGGATGCCAGGATAAGGTATAAGCGTCTTAACTACTTCGTCAGGTGGAAAGGCTACGATGCTTCGCACGACTCGTGGGTTCGGTTCGACCGTGTCTTCGCGCCAGACAAAATTGCGGACTTCTATCGGAGGTACCCAGGTAAACCACGGCACATCGCCTCAGCGACCTTCGACTCCTTGCCCTTCCGAACTATGCGTCGGGACGCCGCATTCAAAGGGGGGGGTGATGTCAGGGGAACCCCGCTTCGGCCTCCTTCGGACCCTCCGAACGCATCCGAGGCGCATCCGACCGGCGCCCCCTCGGACGCTCCGACCCACCCCGACCATCGTCCCACGGCCTCCTTCGCCCGCACAATCACCGATCCGTCAAGACCCTCCCAACGATCACCTTGGGACAGAGCCTGCGACGCCGCTCAGGCCTTCTGCGCTCTACGTCGGCAGTTACGGACGACCAGTATATAGTTGGCGCCCTAGCAGGCGGACCCTTAGAGTTTCTTCTCTTTGGATCCTCCCCTGCTAGGTCGGTCCGTCCGTGTATTTCCTGTAGTCTTATTCACGCTTTGGATCCTCCCCTGCTAGGCTTTCGTCGGAGTCTCCAGGGTTGCCCTTACACATGCATTTCCAAGGAGACCCTTGCATGGCCCAACCCAAAGCCTGACACAAGTCAAATAATACTGTACTATTTCAATCAATTAGTCACATTGACTTTTTTAGCTGAAATTTTCTGCCTGTCCCAGGTCACAGCAAGTATCTTTGGTCCTAAACCATCCCAAAATGGTAATTTCTAAATTAAAAAAAAACTTCCGCACCTATGCAGAACTTCCATATAAGGCAAAAGGTCATACCAAATCCAGGCCTTGGCTGAATTATATCCAGCTAAACATCTTATTACAGTCTATTCCTGCGGCTATTATATCAATTCAATCTGTAAACCAAAATGAATCATATAGTACAAAGTGAACTTGAGGGAGCTCGGCAAGGTCAACACAGAATATACAGTTACATGATTATTCTAATTTGAGCTTTGAACAACATCAATAGTTAAGAATGGCCTTCCATCTGAGACAATCAAACTCTGAATAATGTGGTAATTACACTAGGTAGTAGATACAGTGAGTGTTGAGATATTGTATGTAGTCATGCTCCAGTCCGTGCCGTGTGACGTGTGTGTGAAAGAATATGCGTGAATAAAGAAAGGAAATGAATGCGAAAATAGGAGGAGCGACGGCTATCGTCTAAACGGATTATTTGACAACTTGCCCGAGGTCCCTGTTACGTCTGGGCGTATCCAATAAGCGCCATGGGTTTCCGCCAGCGACGGGCGTACAGCCTCCGCGTAAGCCTGAGCCTCTGTGATTCGGGGGGGAGGTGCAATTACCGGCACATCAGCATCGACATCGACCAGACGGCCTTCCGGTGGCGAGGCGGGTTTCGCATACGAGCTCAATATTGAGCTCGGGTACCGTGCGAGACCGGATAACTCGGTCTTGCTCACCGGTTGACGCGGTTCAGGGCCAGCGCGCGGGACACCAGTCACGGAGGAGTAGATGGACCCCCGCGAGACACGTTGTTGGGCATCTAATTCGGGCAGGACCGACGGCTTCGACCCTCCGCTTGAATGCGACGCATAAGAATGGCGTGAGTATTCGTAAGCTCCGAACACTTGGAGTTTCTCCATTTCGCGATGATGTCTGGCCTCCTCCGCATTCCGCATCTTCATCAGCTTGATCGCCTCGCTCTCCACCTCCTCGTTCTCGTCCAAGTGGATCGCGGGAGTGGGTTGAGCGCGGCGGCTGGCGCGATGTCCAAATAGCTTCTCCCCAAATCGAACTAGCCGCCAGCGCCAGTTCGTCTTGGGATTAAGTTTCTTCGTTGCAGCCCAAGCAGCCGTTTGTTTCGCCCGTCGGTTGCGAGCTCTGCGGCGCCAACACATCAAGAACAACATGAAGATGAACGCGCATCCGAGGGCCATCAAGAGGATTTCCCACCAAGCAAGGGCCCGACCACCCGGAGTCCTTGGGGGCGGAGTCGGAGTCGGTTTCGTTGGCTCCGAAATGGTGCCATTGTTCGTGGTTGTCGACAAAACATGAACAAGATCCGATAAACAGACTCCGAGACCAGGAATAACGCTAGTAGAGTTATTGCAGCTGGCCGCAACACATGTCCCTCCACGCAGCACTTGATTGGCACTCGAGCAGGCAAGACACCGGCCAGGACCCGAGCCAGAACAGCTGGAGCAGCTGGCATCACATGACTGACAGGAGCTTGAAGTCGTGTCAAAGAATTGGTTTTTGCTGCAGGTTGGGAGACAGCGGCCACCACTCAGAACAGGTCGATTTGGAGGGCAACTGGCGCATTGGGAGAAAGATCCACCGGTGCAAGTTGCGCAATCAGGGTGACAGGACAGACAAGCGCCGGAGGAGGAAAAGGTGTTGGAAGGGCAAGTGGAAACACATTTGCCGTTAGAGGCAACTTGGTTGTTTGGACATGTAAGGCAGGAGGTGGAAGAGCCGCTACATGTACTGCAGCTTGGATCGCACGCTGATGATGAGCGTTAGATAAGACGAATAAGAGTGAAAGAAGACCGACGAACTGGTACAGGTCATATTATCCTTCGGAGAAAGGAAGCTCCCGGATGGACAGCTCTCGATGCATTGTCCGTTGGAAAGGACGCTACCTTTGATACAACCAGTGCACTTGAGTTGATTGACTGTCGAAGCAACATTGAAGCTAGCAATCGAGCAAGACGTGCATTTTGCACCACACGCTATCAATGCACATTAAGATTAGAGCTATAAGGAATTAGATTGACGTACTATCGCATTTGCCTTTATTGTTGTCAGCAATGAGATTAGAGCCTTCGCATACGCCAGTGCTGCTAGCCGAAACGCAGCTTCCATTGTTGGTTAAGAAACGAGAGGTTGGGCAGGAAGTGCAATCATTCGAGGTTGGGCCGGAACAGGTGCTACACGAACCAGAGCACGGCGTGCAATTAGTTCCATCGCTGAAGCTTCCATCGGGACACGTGACTCCATTGGCTGATGAAGGAAGGGGGGTGCATTTCGTAGCGTCGTTCTGATCTTGCGTGAAGCGGGTGGCACAAGTAAGGCAGTTTCCTGTGAGATCGGCGCAACTAGCACATCCAAGCTTGCAGACTAGAAAGGGTCTCAGACTTGGACACAAATAACTGAAGTGAATACTACATTACCTTTGCAGTCTCCCGTAGACGTCGAGAAAAATCCGCTCGCACATTTGGCACAAGAAGTGCCATTATCAGCAGTGGTCCATCCCGAATTACAAGCACATGACCCGTCTGGATTACAGTTACCGTTCAAGCAGTTGCAAGCAGTAAGTGGGCTGGGAACGGGCGGGGTAAGGCAACGACCAGTACCAGAGATGCCTTCATCACACGAAGCACAGCCAGCAGGGCATGGCTGACATTTCGGGCCAAAGAAACCTGCTGCACAAGTCTCGCATGACGTTCCATTAAAGCCTGGCGCGCAGGTGCATGTTCCAGTGGAAGAACATGTGCCAGAGCTCGAGCAAGGGGAGGAGCAAGTGGCGGATTGCATATCCAACAATGTCATTGAGCCCGTGTTGCTGGAAGGCAGTTGGGAGGTGTCGGGAACGGAGTCCCAAATAATCACTCGGCCATTGGAGCCAACCGAAACGGCGGCCCATATGTTGGAGGCAAGAGCCATGGATTGTGCATTGAGAGGAGTGGAGGAGTTGGCCACGGGCCCGGACGGGAGGCCACTGAATGCAGATTTGCCCGAGTAGAGGGATTGAGAGTAGATTGCGAGACCGGGTGACACTGCGACATTGAGTGGCAAAGACGGTGTAGAGTTAGAGCCAAAGCCCGGTGTTGGGTTGAGGGTGGCATGAGGAGACGTAAGCAGGTCGTGCACTAGTTGTGGGTTCGTTGTCGTCGTGTATTGACCAGGGAGAAGGAGTACGCTGCCGTTGCGAACATCCGACGCGGTAAGCGAAACTCCAACTGTTCTATGGTAAGCTCGACAACCAAAAGAGAGCGATGGAAACGCACGAGTGGTGTTAGAATCTCCCTGCAGACATTGACCGGCAATACAGACGATGGCATTCGAAGCAGAGGCGACTTGGGCGCCAAAAGCCGCAACCTGAGTGGCGGCAAGAAGGAATGAGAACATGAGAGTGGAAAAAGAGGGGGTGAGAGTGTGAATAAAAGAGACGGAAGGGAGCTCATTGTACTTCGCTTATGCTTGTTCGGGGTAAGGTGTGACAGCATGTCACACTTATTGTTCTTGCCATCAACAATTGATTGCAATGGTGAGCCCTCGCTGAGCCTCTACATCTAGACGTACATGAATGGAATGCTAACGCTCAGAGGAAACGACAAGACGCAATTTGCAAGGGACTGCAAAAGTCAAGAACAATACTTACAAATCAGGGCATTGGTAAGAAAATACAAGGGCATGACATAATAACGAAGCTCAAGAAATTAAGACACGCTCGGAAGAGATACTTATTAAAGCTCCATGAGAAGAACAAGGCTCGCGCCCAACTAGCCCGAAGATCGTTTTTCAGTTTCTCGACTTTGTGTTAGGGTTCCCAATTAAATCGAAGATTAGATTCCAAGTAGAAGTTTAAGAGTCGTCTTCCAGCTCGAGAACGAACTCAGACCCCGACACTGCCCCAACTTCTTGCATAGTCTGATGCCGCTCGCACTTTAGCCTCGCAGGCTCTTCTTCTTCCCAGCCATCCTCGTCTGTGACCTCCACAAGAAGGTACAACACCAATTTCCCCCTGTTACAGTCATTAGCAAAATCAGGAGAAGGCGGAGCACGACCGACCCGTTTGGTTCAATCCCCAGATTCTTAGCGCCGACAGACAAGATCTTCTCCACGGTATGCGAGCCACGGGTCTTGAATTCTTTCCCCTTGCCAGTCTCGCCAGAGATCAGAGTGATTTTGAAGCGGTCCGCCTCGCTGGTGGATTGTTCGGATGCCGTAGTGTCTGACCCTATCGCAAAGGTCATGAAATGCGGAATATCAGGATATGGAGAAACATACGATTCAGATTAGCCACTCGTGATTTTGAAGGACCGGCGACAGGCGAGGCTGAACGTTGTCGTTGCTTCTTAACTCGAACTTTAGGTGTAGATATTGAGACATCGTCGTCGTTCCTCGACTGAGCCTTCTTAGGACTTCGTTGTTGTAACCGTAGAGGCTTCGTGTCCCGCTCCTCCTGCTTTACGGGGCTTTTCTCCTCAGGAAACAGATCTTCTGCCACTCGACGTGCTTCGTCATCACCCTCTGAATCCCCTCCAAACCGGCTTCCCGTAAAGACCTCCTCATCGTCCGATTCTTGTTTAACGTTGCGTAGGATCGCTGCAACGTGAGCTGATTCGTTGTCCTGACCCGGCCCTTCGTCTTCTTCGTGGACTGTTTCATCTCCGGTGACCTCATTCTGGGGCTCTGATTCGGTTATGGGCGGGGTTGCAGCAGGCGTTCGCAGACCCTTCTTCTCCGCTCCTACAAGATAATGAGCAAAAACCAACCTCCGGCGGATATAGAACACACCTTCAACCGTTACCGAGATGATATCAAGCGCGGGGACCAGGAGTGGGTACACATCCTCCGTCAGCTCGACATCGTTTCCTGCACAGACATCGAGGGTAGATATGTGTAGGATTAACTTTGTTTGATCCTGGAGCCCAAATTTGGAAAGAATCAGACGGTGAAGTTGCTGCAAATTGCCGCAATAGTGAGCATGATGATCGACCAACTTGAGTGGCACGATACCTTGTAAGACGATGGTCGGGGGACAAACTTGCGTTTGCCGTCCAGCGCTATTACCAACACGGCAATATCATCATCCAGACAAGTCAGTGGATTGATGGTCGAGGATACACGCATAGGGCAATTGGGTTGAGCACTGTAAGTACAGGAGTCGAGGACAAGGGTGTTTGGAATGTGACAAGTCCACGTGCTGATGTGACCTTGACGCTGGTTGAACGACTTTGAGCTAACAGTGGAAAAACTGTTTATGCATTATGATCTTGACCGGGCTTCGACGCTCTTCACTTGCTTTTCAAGCCGCTGGTGAACCCAAGTTACACTTTCTGATCATGAGCACACCAGCAGACCCACTCAGCTTGGCCCAGTGCCTATCGTTTATCTCCACTTGGACAGTCAAGAATTGGTCAACCAAGAGCGCACGCAGCCTTTGAAGTTGTGCCAGAGTATACCTGCGTGGACCGGCTCCCCGCTCTGGCAAGCATCTCAACAGGGAAAGCGGCGCAGCAACAGTTGCTTCACGAACCGGTAAGCACTAAAACTTTTGAAAAACTTGTAGTCGAACTTGAACATTTGAACACAGTTGACAGTTTCCTTATTCTTAGAAGTTGGGACACATATGACGCAGATGCACCCCGTGACCTCTACCTATCTATCTTGCTCTTGTCACCGTCCTTCATCACCACCTGCTCTCTGCGTCTCGAGACTATCTCAATCTGAACCCAAGACACCTCAAGCAGGCGGTACAACCCTTGTTCTGAACTTGTTCCGTCTCCGGCGTCGAGCATGCGTAGATTCTCGTCATGAAACTGTTAACTTTCCGGGTAGCTCGATTGAGCCGACTTCAAGGCCATCGAGCGCCGTCCTAATTTCATCCTAAGTATACGCGCCGCCCATAGCAGCCTGGAACTGGTGTCCGATGCGGCATTGACACCAAATAAGCTATGTATGACACTGCAGATCACATTGGACTTCGACAACGCGACATCACGCGAGGACGCAACCAGTGATATGACCTTCGATCTATGACGGAAAGAAGTTCTTTTCTTTGGCTTTAAAAGCGGAATGATTCGTCCCCCCACCGCAGCCGTTTGGTCCTCAATCGCCTCTCGACGTATGCTCACTGTTCCCTCCCCATTGTCACCACCCGCTGACGATGCATTCAGTGGAACATAATGTTCACTCTCCGTCTCCTCAGTGTTGCCATTCTGGCCATTTCCTCTTTGGCCGCTCCGTCTATCCCCCCTGGCCAAGTCGTGACGCCCAAAGGACTCCGGGACGCGTCGACCGTCCACGAGATACCTGCAGGATCAAAAGTGGTACACGTAGGCAACTCGACGGTCCACGTACTAGGAAAAACTGGCTCCGTCCTCAAAGTCGTCAAGCTCAAACCCGAGCTCGAGGCGAGAGCGCCGACCCCTGCTTCCGATGCCCCAGTCCCAATGCAAACCGGTTGGGTAGCATATGCGCACTACTTCAACAACGATGTCCCGATCGGCTCATTCAAGACTACCTGGACTGTCCCACCCGCACCAGCTGCAAACCACGGTCAAACGATCTTCCTGTTCAACAGCATTGAGTGCGTAACTTGGTTCACTGCCGTTCTGAAATCCTCATCTCTCACTGTAGACCGGGAAGCTTTGACGGCATCATGCAACCCGTTTTACAGGTGCGCATTTCCTCTCTGTCTGCCTTCTAAATCAACCTCTGTGTGTCTCAGTGGGGACGGAGCGCAGCTGGCGGTGCGATTTCTTTTTGCACTGTAAAACAAAGTACTTAGCAATTCGCTCAAGGTGGCCCGCAATGGATGCTTGCATCATGGTACCTCTACCCCGGCGGGACATTCTTTTCGCCTCTGGTCGGTGTTTCTGTCGGGCAAAGACTGCAGGGTGAAGTCCGGCTCGTTGGCGCGTCTGGCGGGACCTTCAACTACCTCTCCTCCTTCACCAATGTTGGCGGCACGGGACTCGAGGTCGATGGTGGCCCAGAGCTGAAATGGGCTACGCTCACCCTCGAGTCGTATGGCGTCACCACCCGCGACGACTACCCGGCGGGCTCGACGGTGTTCTCGGCCACCAACCTGCAGCTGACTAACGGCGGATTCCCGAATATCAACTGGGCCACTGTCAGCGACACCGCTGATGGTATTACCACCACGGTACAAACCCAGGGCTCGACGGCGGCTGTTGTTACAATTACTTACTAGAGGGATGGTTTAGAAGTAAAAGAATGATTTTTAAGATGGTAACAGGAGAGAAAATTCGATTTATCAGGTGCTAGCTGCTTTTCTTCCCTCGAGCGAGAAACAAATCCACCGTCTGGCCATGAAACCTGGCCGATGAAAGCTGCTCGAAGTCAACTTCTATCAACCCAGCCCCCTCAAAAGCGGCGCAAATCTGGTCCTTCGAGAAGCCAAACCTATTAGGGACGTCTTCGGGAATCACCTTATCACTGGTCGTGAAATCCACGACGAGCAAATAGCCACCAGGTTTGAGGAAGAATGCCAGCACGCCCGTGGTCGCTTCTATCGACTCCAGATGGTGGTATGCTGCAGAGCACTAAAGAAGTGAACAGCACGAATAAGGTCTAGCATAGACAGACAACCACAACATCAAACTTGTCGCCATCCAATTCGGAGTCGTGGCCTTGAAGCTCTGCGCAAACGATGTGTAGTTCATCCTCAGGGATACCTAATCATTTCTTTGTCTGGGACAAGTAACAAGCGTATGGTAAGTACCTTGATTGTGGACTCTCTCCTGGAAGAAGTCAACCGAAGTTTGTAGACGATCAACAGCAACGATTCTCTTGCAGTACGGAGCTAGTCCACGAGAAATGAGACCTTTTCCGCAGGCGAAGTCCAGGAGGGTGGTAGATTTATCGTCGAACGGATAAGCATTTTGTAGTGCAGCAATGATATGGTTGTGGTTAGAGTGCGCCATCAATGCATCACGCGTCACGTGTTATGGCCCATAAAGACTCGTTGGCTAGTAAATGAAGCCAAAAGTACGGTATTCTACCGTAAGGTGGAAGGCCAGGAGTTTGGACGGGCGTTTGGAAAACAATGTCATGTGACTATACGATTTGCTATACGATTTGACATGACGCGCTACCACTCTACTGCTACAGTACCAGCTGCAACGTACATATCCATGGCTAGTTTGTAAACAAATCATGATCAAAATGTACTCCCATTCGAGTCATCGTCTCATACGACCGTTTGACCACCTTTGACGGCAGCATGCCAGTCTTGACATATCCGAGACCTGCTCTGGATGGTACCACACGAAAACTAATCATGTATGCGTCGACGTCCCTGCGCGCGTCCCTCCGCTGCCGCCGCCGCCGCACGTTTGCTCCACGCGCTGGCACATCCGCCGCACGTCCGCCGCACGTCCGCAGCCGCACATCCCCGTCCCACGCCAAGTCCACGCGGTCACGTGACTGAACTTTCAACACTTAATTTCGGACTTGCGCGTTTTTTGCATAGATTTTGGCTGGACAGATTTCGAGATGTACCTGAAAACGCGTTAATTAAGCTTAACAAACGCGTTCTCTGGAAAGAGAACCACATTCTGCACTTCCTTCAATGTCCATGCATGGTCTCCCCTCCCGAAGGCAGCGCAGCGAGGGCAACAAAAAAAAAGAGATGACTGATCACTCACCAGGCAAAAAGAGAGTCTCTACAGCAAATAAGCAACAGCCAGCAGGAAGGCAAGCAGCTCACCACGGCACTCGTAGGACTTGTCATGCTGTCGCAGCTCGTCAGAGGGGGGGTGACCGCCAGCACGACGACATGGGAGGGATAAACAGAAGAGAAATGTGTGACCAGTAACACCACTTCACGGTATAATTGATCGGTCAACTCGCATTTTCGCATGGTCCGTCTAGGCACGGCCATGTATTCACATCACACACACAAGTTTCGGCATTCCCTTGGAGTCTGTGTTGACACACAATTCAAGTACAAACTGGCAAGCACTATCTACTATACCAGCTGTGACACTGGTAACTTTGAAGCCCACCAGCTCGCATGCCAAGTTAGACAGTCGAAAAAGCAGTGCCATGTCTGCTGGACTCGATGTGCTGTAAGGTGTGGTCGTCGTAGCGTTCAAGCCCACCCGTTTGTTTGCCTCTGGCGGCAAGACCTTGGAAAAAAGTCAGTCAGTAAGTCGAAAAAGTAGGGCCAAAATGACATACCGAGGTGCCTTTAGAGCAGCCAACCGTCCGCAGACTGGAGTGGGTTGACAGTCCAAGTGTGCTGGACTCAACGCGCCGTAAGGTTGATGAGAGTCGCGGACAGAGCAGTCGCATGGGTAGTTTGGGAGGATTGGCCGCATGAAAGATGTTGTGAGACTTATGAAGTTGGCAGAGTCGCGCCGCCCGCATAGGTGGTTTGGAAGCGTAGCTTGACAGTATGGTTTCACGGCCGCTGGCCTTGAACCGCAACGTCAAAGTGGCGGGGAGAGATTGGTTGTGAACGTTGCCCGCTGGTTATTTGGCCTCGACGCGAGTCATGACGTTTGCGCATTTGCATTGGTTGTGCGAAAGCCGCGCGAGGGCCTATTGCGGGAGAATGGCAGTGTGAAGTGGAAGCACAACGTCAAAGTGGTGGGGAGAGGTTGGTTGTGAACGTTGCCCGCCGGAAATAGCGAATGTGTTGGTCGTTTAGCGTCGTAAAGTTGACGTAGTTGCATCGGTTGTACGCAAGCAGAACAAGGGCGCGGGAGAATGGAGAGGGTAGTGCTGTGCGAAGGGCCAGTATGCACCGCGGCTTCGCCCAGTGCTAGAATCTAACAGCAAAGTCAGCATAGCTCAAAGGAAAGGAAAGGAGACTCACACAGGCAGCGCACTGCTGCCAACGTTCGCGTCGAAAGTCTAGCGTGGATTTGCGCCTCCGGCGGCAAAATCCTGGAGAAAATGACGCCATTTAACACATTTTTTCGCGTCCAAATGACCGCCAGAAATCATCGGATAATCGATTGATCGGATCATTGATAGCGCCGGATAGCGGTTTTCGGCGAGCTGAGCCAACGTTTAGTGGGTGAGATACCAGGAAGGTGGAAGAGCACACTATAGGAGGACATCCAGCTGATGTTACTGGCAGCCAAGAGCTTGGAGAAGCTCAGTAACGAGCACAGGAACAGACGAGAGGCACTTAC